AAGTTTGTTCACACAGATATGTCGTCCCAAAAATGGAGATAAATTTACAAGCCGGCCGTAGAATGGACTAAAGTTCCGGTAGCCTTATCAACATTCGTCGCTACCAATTCTCGGAACAGTTTGAGCAAAACTGGGCATAAGTTGCCTTTAATGCAAACATGGTAATAATAAGTACGACACCGGCGGTGATGATGATCTGTTACAATTACACTGCACCACTGCAACAAGTCTTGTGCATAAGACGGCTAATAACGAACTGCTCGCGCTACCTACATTGCCACGAAGAAATACCGCGCAGTATACGGTCCAGAATTAGTAAAATTGTGAATAATATTAATATTAACATAATATGGAATATCAATATATTTTAAACACAATCTCAGTTAATGAATTTGAAATCTATGAACAAGTATTTTTTTACCAGTACTCATTGGAAAATTAGTTCAATTGGCACATTTCTGCACAATTCTTTCGCGGGCTGGATTTGGCCCGCGGGCCGTAGTTTGGAGACCCTTGATCTAGACAATCGGCTCAAAGATGGCGGTAAGGTTGTCAGTCTTACGCGCCGGCCGCGCTTTACTCCCCAGGAAAATTATTTAATTAATTCCTGGTACTCATTTCTGTTACCCAGGGCTTAGTTCGGCTGGAAGGATTAGGTTAACTGAAAAAATCCAATGACCTCATCGAGCTTGAACCCGCAACCTTCCGGCTTGTAGCATAGCCCCTCAACCAACTACGCTACTTGGTGTACCTGTTACAATGAGGCCAGCGAAGAGTACAGTCACTCGCATGTAGAATAGAGTTAGCGCAATTACAGAAATGACTGCCATCACCAGACTAACGAAGTGGTTCATGACTGCATACTTCACCCACTGTGACTTGCCCTGAAAGCAAATACCCGTTATATCAGTTTCCTGTTTCATATTGTCCTATAGGTAGACACTCACTTCTTACACCTTATTTCTATTTCCTTCTCCAATCTCTGGCCTCCTTTGTGACGGATGTCCATTTTCTCCTTTACATCCTCTGTGCCTCCATTTATTCAATTTAGGCCCTCATAAATCATTTGCTACATGTTCTAATGTTCCTGTCCTGACTAAACTGTGCACACTCCATGAAGCATAATATAACTTGTCGTATTTATAAATTTTCTTTACTTGTTTTCCTAAATTAAACAACCGGCATCTACTGCTCTGTTCCGTAAATACTACTTCCCGAAATAAGGGTGCTAGCCTCTCCCTCACCTCGAACATGAATGACTGGTGCTCCTGTTCCTGCTGGTTCCCACCCTTCCACGTGGCTGACCACGTGACAGGACATGATAACCAACCATAAAAGCATTCATTTTGTGACCATCGTGTTTACTAAGCATATAAAGAAACAGTATCAGAGTTAGAGTGTTAGATAAGAAGCAAAGCTATCCTTGTAATAAGCTGTAGAGGCCCATAGTGTTGTAAGACGTCGAGGCTCCCACATTTTCTAGACAATCGAATCACAGATGGCGGTGAGGTTGTCAGCCTTACGCATCGGCCGCCCTTTACCTCCCCCTCCCCCAGGATGTTTCCTGGTACTCATTTCTGTTAGACGCGGAGTCGACCCCAGGGCCAATATTGCGGCTAGAAGGATTAGGCCAATGAAAGTTCCAATGACATCATCGGGAATCAAAATCTCGACCTGCCGGCTTGTAACATAGTACCTCAATCAAATATGTTACTAGCATGTTCATTTAGGAAAATCTAATATATGCTGTAGCAATCCGGATAGCTACGGGACGTTCTGTATATCCACAGAAACCAATATTCCTTATTCATGTGAAATCCCTATACACAACTTCTGAATTTCTGCATCATTGAAATCAGTATGTGTAGCCTTTGTATTTCTGTAATACGAGTATTGTATTCAGTAAAGTATTGTACTTCATTAGCACGGCATAGAGTAGATGTCTCTAAGGTCTCCCCTTTTGGGTTGCCACATTATATTGATAACATACGTATCCGGCAGCCTCACGAACAGCACACCTGCATGACTGTATATCGGGGGTGCAGTGACAGCTAAATACTTCTTATATTAAAGATTTGGGAAACGAACCTTAGATTCGGCGACTGCATTCCACGCTGTCCGACTGTCGCTAGAGTTAAGGTAGAATTTATAGTTTTTGTAACTAGATATTCATGTTGTGGGAACGGACGCACAGGTGAGGAGACACAGCATCACACTCCTTGGTGTGTGGGTCTTTATAAACCCGGTGCTGGACGCAGCCGGCGGGACGTCTTTCGTGAATCCAGTTGAGGGCAGTCTCCATGTCAGTCTGCGCTCGAACGAGGACTTAGAAATTTTTCAACTGTGCTCTGGCCCGGTCTACATATCATATGTATCCTGTGTAACTTGTTTGAATTAAATAAATCTACATATACATCATTTGGCTGAAGTACTGTCGTGAGCTTTTACGCTTTGACCACGCCCAAGCACCCGAAGAAGAAGAAGAAGAAGAAACTACCACTCGGCTGCTTCCAGCGTCCTCCCGCAGCAGCGAAGAAGGATCCCGTCCCAAGGAGCGTGGAATACGACAATGCTAACGACATATATTCTCCAAAACACCAATGTTGAATCTTAAGGAAACTTTCACACACTAATTCTCAAGAACCCTATTAAGTGATTTTAACGTATTCTATTGTTTTACTTTATACTTCTTTGTAGCTCTATTCCGTAGGTCCTATATGAATAAGGTCGAAGGCTACGACACTGGAAAGAAGTTGGTGGACTCGAAAAGAAATCCGGGGGTTCTTCGGGTTATATATCACTGATTCAGATAATCATATTGGACCAAATCTTGGTTTTTCTCTCAAAATTAAGTTTTCCCTTTACAGTGTTCATGTACCTTGTCAGCTCCAAGCAGCAGTAAAATGTTCCCGACAAGATGTAGCAAGCTGATACACAGTCCCACGAAGAATCCCAGCCGTTCACCTGGAAAAAAGACAGCAGAATCTACATTTTGATGCAACCAGACGGAATGTGTAGCTCCTGTTTCTAAAGTAAAATGTCCATTTGACAGAGGATAGAACACCAGGTAATATTTCAGTTTATGCCTCTATGTACATTATATAAGCTATATTTAGGCCGCAGAAATGAGTTTAATGGATCTAGTCCGTCCATAACGGGAGTCGCGATAGCTCAGTCGGTATAGTGACGGGCTACAGGCTGGTTGGGCGGGGAAAGAGTTTAATTCCTTCACAGCATCTAGACCGGTTGTGGGGCCCACCCAGGCTCCTGTCCATTGTGTACCCGGAGTAAAGCGACCGGGGTGTGAAGCTGACCACTCATCTTCATCTAGTACCGAGGTCAATAATAACAATAATAATGGAGATATTCCTCCACTCCCCCATACGCCTACGTGAACAAATTTTCCTTTATCTTACCCCCTCCTCTATCAATTACGCTTGCGTCTCTCCACGCTATCTCTCTTTTATTTCCTTATGGTCGTCTACAGTTGGGGATATTTTAGGCGGGTCAAGGTCATTCCTTCATCTCTCAGTTTTATCTGTACGACCAACCATCGTTATCTGTTCACTCCACTTACTTCCCAACAAATATAATTGTATAAAACCAACACCCTGTATATACATATTACTTTTTGGTAATATTTGTATTTGTGCTTCTAAACAGAGGGGTGACCGCCGTGAGAGGAAAGAGAAATGTTCCTGACTATAGCCAGTTCACAAAAATGTTCTGTAGCGTACTGCGTTAGTGACAAAGGCTTTGGGATGGCTGACATGGGCCAGACGGACTGGATGGGAATATAATTGTAGTCAAAAACGGGGAAAACTTGAGCGTCATCATTCCAAATTTGATGCACAATTTTGAGTACGTATAGAGTAGAATAATTGTTGAAACAAAATTTAGTACAAGTAGCGCTTCCAGAGGACAAGAGTAATGGTGAAGATTTACACTCGATATTCGTGGAACACAAGATGCCTTTAGAAGCTAGTAGTCGCTCACTGGATCAAGAAACTTCTCTCTTTTTATAAACTCGTAAAGGTTTCTTAACTTCTTTACCGAGGTCTCCTACTGCGCCCTGCACTGGACCCAGTGAACCAGGTGCAGAACATTAAACCCCGTTTATTTAAGATCCATTTTTAGTCTAATTCCCTTATTTTTAAAAAGTAAGACGAGGCTTTCGAGATAAATCTGCTCTTTGTCTGTCTCTGATTATGTCGGCCGGGTAAATGTCTGTTGGCCCTCGCCAGCAGAGACATTCTTGGTCCCAAGTCCCGCGGACTCACGACTCTAGGGATCGTTCTTCTTCTAGTTCTCTGTGTTGCTGTGTTCCTACCTCGTATCTCTTTTGTGCGATCGGTATCATATGAAAGGAAGATATAAAATTAGTTCTTCCCAGAACTTCTTGTAATATTATCTTAGTTAATTAGTTAGTTATTGGAGAGGGTGGGTTTCCCCATGCACTGAGACCTGTAGTGGTCCATTGTGCTTCCTTCTATGATTTCTACCAGTCTCTATATCCTACCGGTATTGGTGCTTACCATCAGTCCCGCCCAGCCCGCGAGACCGGCTCTACTGGCTGAGAAGTATCTATAATGCTTCCCCCATCTACCGGAGGTATTAGTGACTGCTGTTGGGCGGGAAACATCCGCAATTTTGGCTCAGTGACCTCCTTTGGAGGTGTGAGGATCTTTTACGTGCCGTAAAGCTACGACACGGGACCCACGGCTTAAAGTCCCTCCCGGAGGACTTGTTCCCTGAATTTTTCCTCCCTTAAAAATTTGACGACCTCCGCCGGGTATTTGAACCCGCGTACTACGAGTCATGAGGTGGGAACGTTACCTCTAGACTACGGAGGCCGCTTAATATTAACTTACTATCTACATCTACGTCTCCCGATGTTGTATGCATTTCACATCTCTCCCACGCGTGACATATGCTACTTTCCGTCTCATCTCTCTGATATGATCATCCTTAAAATGTACTACGAAATATACAGATTAGTAGCAATTCATGACGTCATTTCCTCCTGATTCCGCTCTTTTTTCCTCTTTGGAGCTACGGAACCAATTTGGGCCTTGGCCTACCTCCATGAAACTCTCCGTTTCACTTCGGTTTACTAGATCTTAGACATTCAGTAGGACCACTTGGGCGGGTGATCAGCTCGTAGCAAGGACTCTACCTATACACAAACACAGAAGAACGCACATACACAAAAACACTAAATATACATGTCTTGAGTGGGATTCTAACTTACGATCGCGACTTCCGAGCGAGAGAAGGCAGTACATGACTTAGACCGCTCGGCTACCGTGACCGGCCTTCCAATTTCTTATCCTGTTTCAAATTGAAATACTCTCAGCAGACAGGAGATTCAAACTGCTAGAGGAGCCGGAAAGTTAGAAATGAAACTGCTCACATTCCAGCAGAAGCTGGAGGTGCTCTCTGTTGTTCCTTTCACATTTATGGTAAACAAGTAAGTAAAAGTAAAGCTATCCCTGTGTAATAAATATCACGTAACTTCGAACAAGGTCAAGAGTAACCTTGAATGCGCAGAAGAAAAATTTCAGACAAGGGGGTGGGTTCGAAGTTGTGAGAAATGACAGGCGGCCAGTTGTTTGTAAGGCACCCTCGAAGCAAATTTTTCTCTCATCTGTTTAAAAACTTCAGTTTCCTTGTGCGCTAAATGGTACATAACGAGTAAGAAATTAGATCAGGGTATAGGTCCACACTACAGACGAAGCAAGTAACTGCAAATGTACATAATTACTTAAAGAGACTAGCAGATAGTGGAGCTGCTGTGGACTTAAAGTCAATCCAAAGAACAGTATGTGAAGCTACAGGTATCGGCCGCACTGCACTGAATGAAATTATTCGAAAAGAAAAGAGCTTAGAAGAGGGGGCTTCCTTTGACTCACCGACCAAGAAACGTAAGATGGAGAAACCTGTAACGGAAAGTGATCAGTTTATAGAAGATGCCATCAGAAGATCTACGACTTTCACAAAACAAAGGGCAAAAGAGTTACCATGCCCAAACTTCACAAAAGAATGGTAAGAGACCTAAATTTTGAATGAAGTCTTCCTGGTTGCAGGAGAATTGTTCGCCGCCTTGGTTTTCGTTGGAGAAGGACGAGGGATAATAGAAAAACATTGATTGAAAGGCATAACACCCGTTCTAAACGCCTGCTTTATCTGAGGGCAATCAGGCAATATCGCAGAGAAGGTCGGCCTAGAAACGTACTTGCACAGCAGCCACACATCATCATACTCTTGGGATGACTCTCTAAACAAAACACTCTCCTCTCCTGTTGCCAAAGGTCCACGAGCAATTATTGTACATGGTGGTGGTAAGCAAGGTTTTGTGGAGAAAGCTTTGCTTATGTTTAAGTCAGACAGAAAAAAAGGAGACTACCACCACGAGATGAATTCTGGAAACTTTGAGAAGTGGATCCGGGAAAAATTAATTCCAGATTTGCCTCCAAGAACGGTGATCGTAATTGACAATTCAAGTTACCATAATACTGAAGTAAAGAGGGCGCCAACTTCAAATACCACAGTAGGTGAAATGAAACAGTGGTTGGCAGAACGGAACATTTCGTATCCGGCTTCAGCACTGAAACCAGACCTGTACGAAATAATAAAAAAAAACAAAAGTCAGATAATAAATAATATAGACTAGACGCTATTTGTGCTGCTGCTGGACACTATGTGATACGTCTCCCACATTATCATCCAGACCTTAAACCTACTGAGATGGTGTGGGGCACCGTTAAAAATTGGGTGGGTCAAAGGAACGTGACATTTAAGTTGGACATTGCAATGCGTCTAGCAGAGGAGAAATTTAATTCCATTTCCGCCGAAAACTGGGCTGCATATTGCAATCGAGAGGACCAGTACTTCGCAAGGAAAATGGATATCGGCACCAGGACAGACAATATAATCATCACATCAGTGAGGAAGTGAAACGTCAGATGAAGATGATGAGTAAATAAGAGATAGGAGGTATGACCAGTTTTAATTTTCACTATATAGACTACATTTCTAACATGGACACACTAGTTAATTCTACATGTACTTCCATGACGAATGGCTAAATTCTTTTCCTCATTACATATGACTATTCTATTTTAATTTTCAAAGTATAAATCAGTAATACAAATTAAACGTATTTCGTTGCATGACGAGTGACAGTACATTTGCATTATTGTAATATGTCCTTCGAAAAGAGAACAGGGTAGTTTCAATGAAACACGAGGGGGCGGTGAAAGTGGAAGAGCATGTGTTAAGAAACTCCTCCCACCACAAGCTATGCGCGGGATTTGACTAGGAATGCGGGGCCTTGTTCGAAGTTACTTGACACTGTCTGTAACAGGCTCGAAAGCCCATAGGGTTGTGAGACGTCAAGGCTCCTACATTTTCTAGACAATCGGCTCATAGATGGCGGCAAGGTTGTCAGCCTTACGCGCCGACCGCCTTTTATCCCCTGGAATATTCCTGGTACTCATTTCTGTTAGAGGCTTAGTCGACCCCAGGGCCATAGCGCGGCTGGAAGGATTAGGTAAAATGAAAAATCCAATGACCTCATTGGGACTTGAACCCGCGACCTTCCGGCTTGTAACACAGTGCCTCAACCAACTACACCACAGCGTGCCCCCCCCATTTATTGTACCTGCGTATAAAGTTTATATTCATGTTTTAAAATTCTTCTTTCGAAACAGAAAAGAGAACTTCAGAATCAGAACGAAGTCTCCTGTGTAAGCCATCTGAAGAATTTTCGAGAATAATGTTCAGAAAAGAGTCATTATTTAGTTAATTAGCTCAGTTAATTGATTAATGAGTAAACTAGTGAGTCATTCATTCATTAGAGAGTCAGTCACAAAAAAAAGAAGGAAAAGTCAAAAGTGTTCTAGCTAGTTAACTAGTAAAAAATACTTCTTTTTTTTAATTCGCATAGTGTGGGGTGGAGTCCAGCTGGGTCCACTCGGCACGTCGGCTACTTATTGGCTTATTGCACCTGTCCCAGGTGATTATGATGATGGAAAATTTGGTGGAATCAAGATTGGCAGGGAAAACCGAACTACTCGGAGCGCCATTTTGTCCACCACAAATCCCACTTGACCACACCCGGGCTCGAACCGGTGCCGCTACGGTGGGAAGCCAGAGACTAACCGCTTGAGCTATGGCGCGGCGTTACCGGGTGCATCTCGCGCTATGTTGTGTTGCATCAGCTACTCAATGGGTGCCCTGACTCCTGGCACGGACAACAAGCTTTGCAATCAATATCCATACAAAGGATTCATGCTTCGTCATAACAGATATACAATGACTCACTGTCCTTTGTCCGACTACAGAGTTGACGTCCTCATAAACGCCTACTTCCTACTATTAGACGTACAGAGTGAACTTATCCAGTTTCGTGAATAGTTATTTCGTCGTTCTGTTAACGTAATTCGCCATGAAATCAGGTATGTGTTCCAGACTTGGCTTTACCAGTTACGTATATATAGAGGGCACGCGATAGCGTAGTTAGTTGAGGCACAATGCTACAAGCCGGAATGTCGCGGGTTCGAATCCTGATGAGATCATTGGATTTTTAAATTGCCCCAATCCTTCCAGCCGCACTATGACCCTGGGGTCGACTCAGCCTCTAACAGAAATGAGTACCAGGAATTATCCTGGGGTAAAGGGAGGCCGGCTGGCGCGTAAGCCTGACAACCTCACCACCATCTGAGTCGATTGTCTAGAGAAAATGTGGGAGTCTCGACGTCTCACAACCTTATGGACCTCTACGGCCTGTTAGAGGGATAGCTAAAATGAGGTAACTGATTAAATTACAATGGATAATTTTCTTGTTGTATTTATCTCGAAAATTAGGCATAAATGCTCCATAATCTGCATTGCGATTCTATTTGTGGTGCAGAAATGTAAGTATTGTAGCACGTAAACCTGCTGCTAAGTAATGACTCTGTAAACAAGAGCCGTTGCTAGGAAATAACCCGCTTGATACGTCACTCAAAAATATAATAACTGTTGGGAAATATATTTTCTGTGCAGTCCGTTCCGAAGTGTTATAACCAGGATAAGTCTAGAGTTTAGTTAGTTGTAAGACGGTCGCCGTCCAGTAAGGGCATGAAAATAGAAACTATGCCGTTATAAGCCGTTACCAGACAACGACTGGTGATGACACAGCAGACTGATAATGTTCAGTGCGTGCTGTAGTTAACTGTAGAGTATGTGAATTAGTGATAGCGCTACGATTGCTAGTGGTTACGTTCTGCAAGCGTTCTATAAATCCGATTACCAATCTAAGCTCCGCAAATAGTCACATTAATCCGTGACAATATCATAAAGGACAAGACCGTAATATCTTTCGTCTTAAGGAACATTTCTGCATATTTGTTTGCAGCATTTTTTAATTTCCCTGAGCAACCGAAATGTAAGAAGAATTAATTCAGGACTTCGTGTGTTTCAGTTAAATTTTTTCTAAGTCTTTTTATTATTGAAGCTATTTTAATTTTTTTATAAAATAAAGAGTCTTTGCTTTTGATTTTATGTTCTCAGTAATTTAAGGAAAGTTTACCTTTCCTTTAAATTTAAATGACCATTCGTAATTTTATATTTCATTCGTACTAATTTATTTTCTCACATTTCTTTTTTCAATGTCTTCTAAACCAGCTTTCTCTTGGCAAAGAAAAGAACTGTTCCCTGGATGCTCTCAAAGCGATGACTATGAAGAGTAATACATGGGATGAAACATGGTGTTCTCTGGTGAAAGTCCACCGAAGTTTCGGAAGAATGTAGTGCGGTAAGAGCAATGTGTCCTGGCCCACAGACCAGGTGGAGAATCTCTTATCGAGAATTCTGTGAAATACGCTTCAATGAACGCTGAAGGTGGAGATAACGTGTTCCTCCGAAAAGTCAGTTGGCTTATATCGGACTACATGGACTTACAGACTTACATCCCAAAAGTTAAGAATCTTCGCACGAAATTGGACATCAAATTGCAGGATGACAGATGAAAGAGAAAGAATGTGGAAAAAAAGCAGTCTTCGAATAACCAAATTACTCTCCTGGAATTTATTTGGAGGCAATGAGGAAAACCAGGATAAACCGAAGTCAGTATAGCCGGCGTCCCTGCAGAGATTCGAACAGAGTATCTCCCAAACATGCTTCTAGCCCGTTACTTCTACGGCAGTCCGTCCTGTATGATCGTGAATAGTGAGTTTATACGGATCTGGAAGAAGTCGATAATGGCACAGATTCAATTTTAAGGAATTGGAGAGCCTGAAGAGAACTGTAAAATATGTCATTAATGATAGCCGATAGTCCGGCAGTGGTTCGAACCACGTACCTTACGAACACAAGTTTAGAGCTATACATCTGCAACAAGCAGCTATGGACATCAGTGACGAATTCTACAGCCTTTGTTACATGCGCACTAAAACTACTGCGCAATGACACAATTACATGCGGCTGTTGTACGTGCCTAGGAGACCGGGTTCACTCGTGGTTACCTTTGTCTGTATCCTCTTCGTCCATAGTTGCAAGGTCGATACTGTAGGTGATCACCTGGCCCAGATCTGTCAGCTAGAAAGAAAAACAATTTACAATATCTCATATCTTAAATCTCATTCTACTTGCATTAATATTAAAAGAAGTTCTTGCAAGTACTGATCACCTATTTCACTTTCACTACAATTTGAATGTTTTATATAAACAAACTCCGTGGCCTGTAGTCCGCTTGTCGGCGACGTTAGTGCCAACTTTTGCTGATAGACGGTGTTGCGTGGTCAGCGCAACGGACCACCACGGCCGTTAACATCGGTTTTCTAGACCGGAGCCGCTATTTCCTTGAAGTAGCTCCTCAATTATGCTCACGAGGCTGAATGAATCCCGTTCCAGACCCACTACTTCTCAGAAATTCTGGTAGAGCCCGGAATCGAACCCGGTACCTCTGGATCTGAAACCCGGAACTCTGACCACTAGACCACAGGGACGGTCCTTAATATTTGATATGACAAGTAGAAAGAAACTTTAGTATGTATGTGTAATGAAATTAAAAACAACAGAGCATTCAGTGTTGGCATTACCGGTGCGAGGAGTTCATGAACTACACCATGAGGTGGTCTCAAGTGGCATAACATTTCATGACGATCGGTTTAGGCATTCAAGTAATATTATTACCTCAAAAATTGGAAGGACCACAATGTAAGTATTACTGGGGAAGGGATTTCTGAAGTGTACGGTTGAGACAGTCTCAGATAGAAAGATGCATATATCAAGTTTCATAAAGATCGGTTCAGGCGTTCAATAGATCTTAGGGTTCGATGTACATAAAGACACACGGACCACACAGGAAACACAGCCTTTCTATGGTCGGGAAGGCGTGTTTACAGCGACATTGCATAACAACGGAAGTTACTTCATTGTTGCTTACATATTCGTTACCACGGTAACATGTTTACCGAGTCATTGCCTAACATTCAATGTCTATTCTGAATTCACTATTCCTGCTTTTGGGCGTTATGTCACAATATTTAGTAGAAGTAAAAATGTGACTTTCTTCATTATATTTTTCAAAGAACTCCACTTCGTCAAAACTTGAGCATTCTTTTTCTATTTACTTAACATTTTTTTTGCACCGTTGAGTTATAAAAGGAGGAGGCCGTGCTATATTTTAAAGTAATGATCAATGAGTTTCTGTGGAAGCACCGAGAGAAATATTAAGGATCTCACTGAGGACCCAGCCCGCCGGAAAGAAAATCGACAAGCAGAAGTAATACAGCAACATTCTTTACAAAATCTTGAAAATTATGCTTGTAGTAGGATGAAGTTGCATTCCAAATACGAAATCAATCGAAGCAAAATTTTTCGCATGCTCATACAAGCACGTACGATTCCTAGCCTAAGAATGGCTATTTCAATGAAAGCAGTTCTCTTCCCAGAAGAAGGGGATACTTTGCAAAACGAGACGTATCGCTATCCACAGATGAGATGCCAAATTACCTACAGTCTGAATTGGTAGAGGCCACACGAGGCGAAAAGGCTTCTTATACTTACTTTCTTACTTGTGGAGCTATGCCATTCTTGAGGAGAAGCCAAATCTGCAGCTACTCAAGAATTTTCCAGCATTTTATGGAACCCGAAGGTTCATTACCGTGTTCACTAGAGTCCTCCACTGGTCCCTCTCTGAGGCAGATCAATCCAATCCATACCATCTCATACTATCTTTCTAGGATCCATTTATTATTGTCCTCCCACATACGTTTACGTATGTCTTCTTAGTGGTCTCGTTCCTTCTGGCTTTCCCACCAATATCCTATATGCATTCCTCTTCTCCCCCATTCGTGCTACATGCCCTGCCAACGTCGTCATCCTTAACTTGACCATCCTAATTAGACTTGGAGAAGAGTACAAATCATGAAGCTCCTCATTATGAAGTTTTCTCCAATCTCCTGTCACTTCATTCCTCATTGGTACAAATATTCTCCTCAACACCCTATTCTCAAACACCCTCAGTCTGCGTTCCTCTCTTAATGTCAGAGATCAAGTTTCACACCCATATAGAACCACAGGCAAAATTATAGTTTTGTATATTCTAATTTTTATGTTTTTGGACAGCAGACGAGAAGACAAAAGGTTCTGGATTGAATGGTAGCAAGCATTACCCGAATTCATTCTCCTCCTGAATCAAGTTTCGAAATTACTTCGCATAAGCACGAAATATACCGTTAGCAGCAGGTGAGGCACCCCAGTTAGCCACAGTACTTGCTGAGAGAGGCCACGCAGAGGAAAATAGCTTCTCGTAAGCACCAGACGTATCGTTGGTTGGTTATTTAACGACGCCATCAGTATCGATAGCTTATAGCGTCAGTGGTGGGATGAGCACTGAATGTAGAGCAGTTGGTGGAATGAGAGTTGGCACTGGAAGCTGAAGTACTCGGAGAACACCTGCTCCAATGCCATCTTTTCCAGCACAACTACCACATAACCTGACCTGGATGTGACCTATCACGGACCGCCGTAGTGTGAGGAAGACACGAGAGGTATCGCTAGCAACAGGTGAGACAGACCTGACATAGTAAAGGACGATTGTCTAAAACCCTGCAGTAATAATTTTTAAATTTACAGATGTTATTAATATTTCTTTTTAATATAGAGGCATACAGAATATGAAATTTAAATACTTAGATCTTATTTATATTATTTCTATTCTGACTTTATTGAATTCATTGTTCACATTTAATATAACGTTCTTCATAAGAAATGTAAGAAAATTAATTGTTTCTTTTTGTACAAGCACATTAGCAATATACTATAAAATCAGTCTATAGTTTAGGATTGATAGGACTGATCTGTCATGAGTCAAAACAAGACAACTGCCGGGTATGATATGGTAGCCAAACATCCTTCGCTCCATCTTAGCCCCAAAGTAGAACTCAGAAACTTTGTTGCCCTATGTAGTCAATCAATTTACCGGAAGGAAGAACAGTTGAATCACATACGATGTGTTGTGTGTTACTTATGATATTTTTTTCAAACTTTATAAACGTATAAAATAAATTCAGTACCCTGGTTGTAAATAACCAAGATAATTACATTAGCCGCGATAAATTATATCGCTGCCGGTCACGGTAACCAAGAGGTCTAAGGCATGTACTGTCTTCGCTCGCTTGGAAACCGGGATCGTGGGTTCGAATCCCACTCAGGGCATGGATGTTTAATTTGTGTGTGCGTGTTTTTCTGTGTTTGTGTACAGGTAGAGGCCTTGCGACGAGCTGATCACCCACCCAAGGAGTCCTACCGAATGTGTAAGATCTAGAAAAACCGAAATGAATGGAGATGTTCATGGAGGTAGGCCTAGGCCCACTGGGGCTAATCGCTTCAGCTTCCCTCCCCCAGCACCAGGTGTTCCTCAGACAGCGTGGGGAAGTGATTAGTCAAAGGCATTATCTACTGGGGGCAGCACATACCGGCTCATCTCACTTCAGCATTCCATATTGCCCCAGTTTTCCCTACACTAAACAATGGATTTATTGGAGGAAAATAAAAATTGTTGCTGAAATTTATTTTTTCTTGATTATACGATACAAGAGAATTTTCTGAAATTTTTATCGTGAACAGTACGAGCAAATAATATTACAATATTAATCTTTGGATACAACATGCAGAATGGGGACTGTGAAAAGGACGAGGTAAGGGTAGATTAGTTTTCGTACTTTGCCACAGTCTGACCCACGTCATGAAAGGGTTCGTTTGCACAGAACCTGTTGATTTCAGCTTCTTGTTGTCCAATTAGAATTTATTTCTGTAACAGACTACCTGATCAAAAGCTCCAAGAGTTCTGCTAGAACAGACAAATAAAATATTCACGTTTTCAAGTAGTTTACTCTGATTTCCTTGGCCATCTGTTTAAATTCTTACTTTAATAAGAAAGAGTGAAAAAGAACACTTTGCAGCTAACGCCTCGCTGTTAGTCTGGCCCGGCATCGATCGATTACGTTGCCATAGAAACCGTACAGTGCAGCAGTTTCAGGCCTGGGAGTGCCGACTTCTTCATGACTGCGTTCACAGTTGGCCTATACCAAGGGTATGCATACATACCATACTTGTAGGCTTGTGAATTCTTCGCATGAAGCAGAGAGGACGGACAAGTTAGCTCAAGAGGTAACAATTCTGAGTTGTGCTCGGGAGGTGTCCGGTTCGAATCTCAGCCAGGACACCGACAGTACAGAGCGAGGGTTATCGTAGTATTTCTTAATCCCTCCGGGCAAATGCCGGGATAGGATAATAAAAGAGACCACGGCCACTTCTATTCTCATTATTTATGAAGCATCATTCTCTAATCGTCCTACAGATCGATTCCAAATATTATGACATGACGGCTGAGAGCTGGAATAATGAAATAAGGAAAGGCGGCCGTCGCCAGGCAACAGCGCGGTAAAAACCTTTCTGCATCTAAGAATGAATGCGAAAATTGTAGCAACTGCCGGCAGCAGTGTTCAATCAAAAGAATATTGGTCGTGAGTCTCAAGAGGCTTGTTCCCAAGATTAACTGATTGGCAGTGAACCTCCAATTATGAAGTAACCCTGACTCTGACTCTGGCTCAGATTTCAGCGGTACTCCCTGAGTCGTGGGGCAGTAAAACATTTTCATGAGTCCCGTGGGACTCAGAACCAAGAATGTCTGTGCTTGCTAGGGCCAGAAGCAATTTATTTGACGGCGACAGTCCAGCCAGTCTTGATTTGCATTGTTAGCAGCCTCTACATAGCAACGACTAGTAACCAATCGGAAGACTTTATGCGTAGTTGTAGTAATCTATAGAGTGTAAATTAGTGACTGTTATAGTTATTTCTAGTTACCAGTTATGAGGGTTCTATAAATCCAATTATCAATCCAAACGCCATGCCTGGCCACTAATACGTAACAGTATTCTGAGCTACTGATAACAGAGTTAAATGTCGGGCAAATAGAAGCTTGGAGAAATGTTAATAGTGTGGGCTTACATATGAAAGCAGAATGGTTTAGTCATTAGGCCCTTACTTTTGCCGGGCCTGTGGGGTGGGGGGAGTCAACTTGAAAGATTACTTTATGAAAAGAATTTAGGTTCTGTTCGAACCTCTTTCACTCTTTCGTTACTATCGAAATAAGAGCCGCTTGAAGATGGGCAGTATTCTACCTAATTACGGGGAGGTGCTGTGGGACAGATAACCTAGGTTTTTGGTAGCCTTCATCAGCTGTTCCAGGAAAATGCCCCCCGCATCAAATAATATTTTTAAAAAATTACAACAATTTCATTCCACACTGTTCAACATTCCATCCTTCACTCTCATCTTCCCATTCAGCGCAGGGGAGAGGGCGTCATCTTGGTCACATTCAGCTAAGCATCAAACTGATGCAGAAAATAAGACATCTTGAGAAGTACGTATGATGTCAAACAGTCGTCTCAAGAGAGAAGTGCACTGTGCGTAATAAACTGTATCTCCACGCTTGCATGGATTAGACAGCCTCTGTGGTCTAGCGGTCAGAGTTCCTGGTTACAGATCCAGGGATCATAGGTTCGATTCCAGGAACTACCAGATTTCATGAAAAATAGTGGTTCTGGAACGGGGTCCACTCAGCCTCGTGATGATAATTGAGGAGCTATTTCAAGGAAATAGCGGCTCCTGTCTAGAAACCGAGATTAACGGCCGTGGAGATCCGTTGAACTGACCACGCGACACCCTCTATCCGCTAAATTTGGCACTGACTTTGGCGACAAGCGGCGGTAGCCCGGTCGGTATAGTTCGCTTGTGGACTACAGGCAACGGAATATTAGAAAATAAAGTCAGTCAAGAAGTTAGCCGCCTTCTGTGGAACCCCAGAGCACATTATCCTGTTGACAAGAACCTGCAACTGGTCTCTATTGCTAACCACGTGACTCCATTACACAATCTTAGGTCTTGTTTATGTAATATCCATTTTGAGCACATTTTCCTTTTTATGAAAAATAAAAGTAGGCTTATGACACCGCTTATATATTCATCTGTCTCTCTATTCGATCACCTTGTCTTATCTCTGTCTATATAGCAGCCTAATCTTTGGTAGGGAGCGTAGCATCGATCTGGTATTTGTGTGTCTGTCTCCCTCTAAATGTTTGTTTTCTATGTGGTCCATGCCGTAGTAAAGGAAAGTAGGCGATTAGTTATTCCAAGAATTTCTTGTTTCGAAATAAGGGTTCACCACATGAGTCAAAATGTACACAGAAACTTTTGGTATGACTCCGTTTTCCAAAATGGCGGCTAGATACTTACAAGCCACAAAACTCCAAGAACAACTGAACCAGTTCGAAGTGAACAGCAGCCACAGAAAGCCGTTTTCAGCATCAGTTTGGCTGCGGGATATTCTTCTGTTGTCCTAGAATAGCAAAGAACAATACAGTATTATTACGAGAAAACAATAGAACGTGAACTATAAACGGAAACGAACAGTAACTCCACAGGAAAGAATATTAAGTAAAACGTAAGAGATCTAATGAGAAGTGAGAATTTCCAGCCAGTCCTCTGTGTGTTGAGTTGTTCTGTATGTGACCATTTTATAATAAAGATACGTGAAAGTACGTGCATGTGCACTCTCAGCATAACTTAGCTTAACTTAATATAAGGTAACTTAATCTGACTTTCACTGAAACTAGTCTAACCTATCTAATATGTCAAGGGAAATACACATATGCTCGTGTGTAACATGGGAAGACTTAAGAAGAATTTTCTAGTCTATTGGAAAGGACATGTATTTTTGGTTATTGATAGTGGGGTACTGCGGCCAATTCTGACCTATTCTACCAGCCCCAGATGATAGGTGAGGGCGATTGTGGAGCAATTGGTGGAATGAAGATTGGCAGGGGAAACTGAAGTACTCGGAGAAACGCGCCCAGCGCCACTTTGTCCACCACAAATCCCACGTGACCAGACTCGGGATCGAACCCGGGCCGCCGCGGTGGGAAGCCAGCGACTAACCGCTCGAGGTATGGCGCGGCCCACAGGACATGTAAATAGTGTGCTAGATATTACTGGGTCTGCCATTTCATTTGGCCCACTTATTATTAACAAACAAAGGACTCACAAATCGATAATTTCATTTAGCTTATATTACATAATCATTCAGACACAACACTCATGAGCATTTAGCTTCATTCAGCTGTTAATTTGTGATCTGTCAATCAAATTAACGTATAATACCAGCACTCTTTGAAGTCTCATGTAAAATTGCTATTTATTTTTTTGTGTGTAACGAACCCATACACAAGTACTTATTTACCGGTATGTTAATCCGTCCTTTACGATAATTATATATAATTAACGTCACTGTACTTACGGAAAATCAAAGGAACTGAATGTTAATACAATACACAATCTGTCAATGAAGAGGAGGCGCGAACAGCCCCCTCGGCATGACAACAAGTTGACCCGACACACAGATAAACACACGGTAATTAACTTTTCAAATAATAACAATGATACAATATTACTTTCAGAACGTTAGTACATTTGGCAGGTCTTGTCTCCTCGGCATCTGGACGCCAACTGACTGTGACCTCTTTCCAGTCTCCACACCCAGGACTGGCGCCAGGTCGTTTTGCGACTCAAGTTGCGATATATATGTATCAAGCCAAAAAGCATTTGCCGTTAGCTTGGGGGGTTTATGTGTTCAAAGGGTTAAACATTTTAAACATCATTCGATTCGCTCCGTTAGTACGAGTAGATGTGTCACAACACAAATGAATCAAATTACTTCTTATAAATTTGCTTCCCTAGTTGTGACTGTCTATTAAAAAAAGTTGAATTTACTTTTTTCAAGATTCTGTATTGGTGGCGCTAGTGGTCATCCCGTCTTACAAATTCGCATGGTCTCCATACCGATTATGGTTGCTATCAGAATGTAAAATGATTAAAGTCCGAATTTGGCTACAACAACATAGATGAATTTAAACTTGAACTTGAAGACTGTTTTATCACAATACTTACCAGACTTCTCCTCAAAATGAGAAGTACCGTAATTTTTTTAGTTCCTCTTAAATTTGATAGTCTTCATTATGACACACGAAACATAATGTCGCAGAGGGTTAAACGTCTGCTCCCCACCGCGGCTACCAGGGTTCGTATGTCATGTTGGATTTGTGATGGAAAAAGTGACACCGGGACAGTATCTGTTTCCCTTGCCAATTCTCATTCCACAAACTGTTCCATATACATTAATCATCCTGTAATCGTTGCTATATAGTCTTGATAGCGATAAAGTCGTTAAATAATGAAATAATAATTAAAAAAGTAATCCAATATGCAATCGAAACTCTTAAATAAGAAATTCAGCCCTTTTATCAGTCAATTAGGTGTACTAGGCATTTAGTAGCATTGCATAACATAATTTTTACAGTGAAGGCATCTTCGCCCGACACCCAAGCTGTTTAACTACCTGTTGTGCGCTGTCTGCGCATGTCTGGCCGACATACGAGTATTTTCAGCTACCCTCTACTTCCATTCTCCCTCTCCGCCATCCAGAACCTGCTGAAGCGACATGCTGTGTCATTATCAGTAATTCAGATGGTAGAATGGCAGTCGATAATGAAACCGAAAAAAATGTGGAGGAAAATAGTTATCTAATTTGAGATACTATTCAGATTTTTACCTCGAAGGAATGAGGAAAATCAGGACAGGCAGTCTTCCGGCGTAAGCAATGCTATGCTGCCAAGGGGAATCACTTAATTTGGTAAAAAAATTAGTTAGTTAGTTAGTCATTGGAGAGGGTGGGTTTCCCCATGCACTTAGACCAGTATTGGTCCATTGTGCTTCCCTCTATGATATTCTACCAGTCTCTATACCCTACCGATATTGGTGCGTACCATCAGTCCCGACCGATCTAGCGAGTTCGGCCTCTACTGGCTTAGCGGTATCTATAATTCTTCCCCCATCCATCAGAGGCGTTAGAGACTACTATTGGGCGGGAAATGTCCTTGAATTTGGCTCAGTGACCTCCTTTGGAGATATGAGGTTCTTTTACGTGCCGTAAAGCTATGATACGGGACCCACGGCTTAAAGTCCCTCCCGGAGGACTTGTTCCCTGAATTTTTCCGCCCTTAAAAATTCCACGACCTCCGCCGGGTTTGAACCCGCGTACCACGAGTCATGATGTGGGAACGTTACCTCTAGACTACGGAGGCCGCTTGGTAAAAAATTACTTAGGCTAAAATACTCGCCCATTCAGGGGGACAGCGAGACCAAATTTCTTACCGAGGGAAGGGAAAGCAGTGAGTTTCAGGAGGGGAGGGCAGAACACTTGCTTACAAACTTGCCATCAAGCTATGTAGGGCTATTTTTACCGATTGCCCTAAAGTATTTATCTTAAATAATAAATTAAAAATGATTTGTGTTATTCATAATTTATGTATGACCTCCTTTTTTAATTTCGACTTTTCCAAAAATCCGGGAGAAATGGATTATGTTTTACACCCCTTCCTGCCGGCCCCAATTCCTGGAACAATTCCATGTTCTTTCTGGATCCTACCAGATAATTTATACCCGTATATGCTCCAACACGTCTCATTCTTGGCTAAGCGAACTGTGTCCATGGAACTGAGCCCTTCTTGAGAAGCCGCCAGTTGTGCAGCTACTCAAGAATTTCCCAGCATTGTATGAAACACGAAGGTTCATTACCGTGTTCACAAGAACTCTCCACTGGTCCATACACCGAGCCAGATCAATCCAATATATACCACCCCATCCTATCTCTCTAAGATCTATTTTAATATTACGCAGTCACTTAAGCTTTGGTCTACCTAGTGGTCTCTTTCCTCCTGACTTTCACACCAATATCCTATACGGATATCTTCTCATCCATTCGTGCTACACGTCCTGTCCATCTGATTTCATTATTCTAATTTATTTTGGCGAAGAGCGCAACTTATGAAGCTCCTCATTATGCAGCTTTCTCAAACTTCCTATCACTTTATCTCTCTTGAGACCAAATATTCTCCTTAGCACCTGTTCTCAAACACCCTCTATGTTCCTCGCGTTATGTCAGAGATCAGATTTCACACTCATACAGAACCAGAGAAAATATTACAGTTTTGTATATAGACGTTTTTATGTTTTTAGACAGCAGACGAGAAGACAAAATATTCTGGACTGAATTGTAGCAAGTTTTGCCATAATTCAATCTCATTTTAATTACCTCTTCAAAAAATTGATTTGTTACTGTCGCTCTCAAATATTTGAACTGTGCCACATTTTAAGAAAATCCAGTAACTATCCTTATGTTATATTTTGTCCTAAATTCCTTGGGTAAGCTTAATATTTATTTTGAATATACTAGTTAGACATGCACTCGAAGAGATAATTTCAACAAAATTATTTAATGCTGATGAAATGCTGAAAATACGTTTTGTTTATTACAGAACGCTGTTTAAACAATAAAAAATATTACAATAACTTAAAAATTAAATGAAAATTCATGAGCATGTTTGTACTCCAGAGACCTAATGTTCAGTAGGTTCTACTGCCCCCAAAAATATTACCGTACATGAAATATATCTTCAGGTCTTTCCAAGTTCCTGCCCTGGCCCAACAAGGTTGTTGTTAGCCATAAATCTTCCGTCACTTAGAAGTACTTTTCAGTCATTATTCAAATTGAGATTGGCACATAAATATAAATTGCATTTACTCAATTAATATTGTAACGTGTTTCGTTACCGAAGACGCCGTAGAGATGGTTAATTGGTTTATTTAACAATCTACAAATAACGGCTACAATTAATTATCACAATATTACGGGTTTCCACACTTTACAAACCCTACAACAAAATCTCTTAACACGATCTTCACTTGTCTTCACGTACTAATAACGCGGGAGCTATACAAGTCTCCCTGAATTACACACTTTCACTCGTAACACGCCGCTGGCTAGATTCCAACTCTGCTCGCAAGATGCTGCCGTGAGAACTGTTGATAACACACTCGGCGACTGTCACAGTACAACTGACTCGGCGACTGCTACAGTAGAACTCTCTCGCAGCCGCTGTGCAGCTCACTTATATAGCTGCAGTGCTTGCTTGTTGCGTAATGAGTGACACGTCATCCTGTTACGTCACCGCTGTTGACTCGCATTGCATAGTTACCAGATTGCGGGGCTCGGCTATCTTCGGCTCCGCTCGGCTCTCTTCGGCTCCGCTCGTGACGTCACCGCGCTTTGCGCTTTGCATAGCTACCAGGATGCGGGGTGATTACTCGCCCATTACGCCAGCGCTATGTTACCGCTACGTGCAGCTGGGGAGGTAGGGGTCAGCATGTCACAATATTATACAAAGCTGTTATGGATGCACACGTGTTTCTTGCTGAGCAGTATGACCACGCATCGGTTAGATTGTACACAATACTTACCCCAATATACCGGTATTACCAGAACGAAACCACACACAACACCATCCTTAGTTTAACCTATTTTAATGCCCTACTACTGCATTATACGAAATACCTTGATGCGTAAAATTGAAGCATTTTATAGAAATTTATTTTAAATTTAACTTACAATATAATTATACTGTATTTATTTACTTTCAACCAAACTGATAATTGTTTATCAAGGTCGAAGTACACAATGGTATAGTATAACAACAGTAAATTTATACTGGCACTACCGTCTGTTTTATTTGTACTTCAAAGTAAATGGTTGTGCAGACAACCACTATATATCGCGGTTCTGTACGACAACAAGATCCCAAAGATAATAAAGAAGGAAAATTTAATTAACTTCTCCGCCGTGTTGGCCAGAGATGGGAAAACATCTCTAAAACACGAAACTGCGTAATGTAAACTGGATGTGAGAGGCGAGTGGTGAGAATTTCAGCGAAGTTAGTGCAGAAGATATCAGGGTTCTTGGTTTTTCATCTGCCGGTAACAACTGTACACAACCAGCCAGAAGTACACGAGCGTTTCTGAAAAAAATAAAACAAATATTTCAGAAGCAGAGATTTTTCCTTTTAATGCGATACAGGAGCTGCACAGCGGACAGTAACGTATTTTAAACAGATATTTGAAAAGACCTAACACAAATTAAACTTACATAATTATAGCAGAATTTATTATCTATGAAAAAGTTTCAATAGGACCCTTAAGTTTCGTGACCTTTAAAACATGGCAATTCAGGCATACGCTAGTATACATTACATAAAATTTTGTCAATACATAAATTTTATGTAGAATTTTAAAATAATTTGACTCTTAAAAGGAATTACAATACATTCAGGCTGTAGCTCACGTTGGTACAAGCGTCTTCCAACCGCGACTACCTGGGCTCGATTATAGGTTAGGTCATGTGAGATTTTTGGTGGAGAAAGTGACACTGGAGAGGGTTTCCTGTAAGTATTTCGCTATTTCCTGCACATTTTCATACCACCAACTGCTCCACACTCAACAGTCATTTCATAGACGCTGTGAAGTCTCGAATTTGGCAGCGCGGTTAAATACAAAATTAAACTTATACTAAGATCAAATCTAATTTAGTAACAGAAGCGCCCTATATTTTGCTCCTGCGCACTATATAATTG